TGTGGGGAAAATTTATGCTGTTATGCTGTTACAATGTATATGTCTGTGGCAGTAGCAAATGTATATCTATGACAATGGCAGGCCTCATGCTAAAATTGCAAGTCACTAGTTTCCAGTAAGGATGATCATTAACCTGCTGTCTATTGTCTCTGGATAATGTAGTTAAAGTGTTCGTGTATTCAGGAACTTGTCTGTGTATTTGGATGGTATCTGTGTCTGTTTACTAGCCTGTCTGTTTACCAACCACTCTGTTTACTGATGCCTGTGTATTCAAGGAAATTAGCTGTCTCTAACTCTGGTTATTCTGTTGTGTATTCAAGAAATTAGTTACCTCTGTATTGATTAACTTGTTCAAAGGTAGGGGATACAATAAACTGAGGGGAGGCCGGATCGAGAAAGAAAGAACTGACACTGAACAGGTGCCTCACGGCAGGCTGTTCTGTATTCATCCGGATCCCACCCTGAAAACCACACTCGAGTGTCCCGCCTTTTCCTTTCTCCTTGCTGGTTGAGGAGAAAGATCCCTGCCCTGAGGCTTCATCTGCAAGATCCCTACTTCCTCTCATCTTGCAGATCCCGACACTTTACTGACTCGCAGACAACTAAACTACAGGCACTTCCTTTCCAGGACCAACCCACCATAGATCTGGACTCAGACCATGATTCCATCCCGCCTCTGTCAGGCCAACCACCTTCTCCCCTTCTTGTCCAATCTCCATTGTAGGCAAATACCTCAGCTGAGGTAAAAGTACTTCCATATTCGGCTTTCTTGAGCCCCAAGTCTATGGGTTGCTCTGTCTCCGTGTGTGAATCAGATTCAGCATCCATTCTGGCTGATCCTTTACTTCTGTGTAAGTGGTCTAGGAAGATGTGCACCATACACTTGCTGATCTGATGCCGAACCTCCACAACTTCCGGTACCTTCAGGGTTGCCGGCATCGCATGACTCTCGGGCTCAATACTTGCCATCTCCCCCTCGATACCATATGAGGCATGAATATGACCAGTCTTGTGAGGATGACACTCTTCCTCCTCCTCCGGTACAGAAAACTGTGCGAGTCCTCTAGCAAGAGATGTCTTTCTCCATCTCTTGCAGTTCAGCCACCTTCGGTACCAAAGCGTCAACTTGTCTCATTAAGTCTGCTATGCTTTCATATGTTCACTCATCTTCTCTCCACAACCTATACCGGACCTTCACCCACATCTCTCAACACAAGCACCTTACATCTCACCACTCTACACAGGCAGTACCATCAAAACACAGTATCACTAAATCTAAACGTCATTTGCAGGATGTCCCTCCTTATGCACCAGCATATCGACAGCTCTCTTTGTCATCACCTACACAATTCTCCGATTCTGAAACTTCAGATTCATCAACACTGCAGGAGTCTCTTCCTAATTTGCCAACTCCTGATTTGGATGTCGCCGATACCAACCCTCCATCTCCATCTGTGGACTTCTCATACTCACAGCTAGTGCTCCGCATAGCCAAAGCCATGGACCGTGATGTCCAGCAACATGTCCAATCAGAATCGGATAAAGTCTATGTGGACATTAATGAAGACCAGACACCTCTACTACATATGGGGTTTATCCCATCTCTCCTAAAATTAATCAAACAGTCATGGTCTAAATCATTCTCGGTACCTCAGATTTCTTGGAGAGTTGAAAACTTATATAAAACTCATGGAGACAATACTGATTTCCTCTCCAATCATCCGGCTCCCAATTCTGTGATAGTTGATGCTACACAAAACAGACCATGCAGTCGCTCCAATTCTACTCCTAATAACGAAGGCAGGAAGCTTGATATCATCAGCCACAGAGTTTGCTTCCTTGCTTCCTTGACATGCTGCCATTTATCTTGCAGCCATAGGAGCCTATCAAAGTTTTTTATGGAACAAAAGCCTTCCAACTTTTTAAGCAGCACCTGGAGAATATAAATCCCGTGGCCTTGCCTTTCATCAAGAGGCTATGGCTTTGGCATGTCAAGAACGCATTACAGCATGTCACGTCATTGAAGCTGCATCAAAGCATATGGCTGCCACTGTTACCCTCCGGAGACAAGCCTGACTCTGTTCAGCCCACATTTCTGATGACTCTCACATGCGCATTGAAGACCTACCTTTCGATGGTGTCAGTCTCTTCGATGAGAAAACAGATGAGATACTAGATTAGATTATCTTTATTACGGTCATTGACCAACATGAGATACTAGATAACCTGCAAAAGATGAGAAAAACAGCACATTCATACAATACTTAGCCATACTATAGACCCCAGAGATACCAATGGTGCTGTCCGCACCCCTATCACCAATACAAATTCTTCAACAAGCAGTGGTACTTACCTTAATCATCTTCTTTCCAACCTCAACATGCCACACAGTGACAATGTCCCAGGCAGTCTTTCAGGCATCCTGACAAGAAAATTAAGCAGTCTTTGACTCCACCATCGCCCAGATCAGTCCACTTCACCTTCCGCCACCCAGCACCACCCAACTTGCAGCCCATCCTCCACCAATTCTTGGGTCCTCGCTATCATAGCCACCGGTTATGCCATAGAATTTGCCTTTTTGCCACCACTAAGAATAGTTCTAAGCACATTATCAAACGCTTTGGAACAGGGGATCCAATCCCTTCTTTCAAAAGACGCCATATCACTTGTCATCCCACAAGCAAGTGAAGAACTCTAAACCTCATGCCACTTATCAATAAATAAATAAATACCCTGGCTACCCCGAGGTTTCCCTGTTTTGTTACAAAGTGCCCCTTTGTATTGGCACGGTACCACTTTGGCTACATACAATTTGGTACTCAGAGAATTGAGATGGCTTAATATACCCTGGCTACGCCGCAGTTTCCCTGTTTTGTTACAAAATGCCCTTTTGTGTTGGCACGGTACCACTTTGGCTACATAAGATTTGGTACTCAGAGAATTGAGATGGCTTATGTACTATTCTTGTGACTACTGTAGTTCTTAAGTGCCTGCAAGACGACCCCTGCTCAAAGTCTCCTTTAGCAAACACACATATATGCACACATATGTGCATATTTCTGGTCTTACTGTTTAATGTGTTTAAAAATCATTATCAGAAATAAGGCTAGTGTGGGAAGGATGGAGTGGCAGAAAGATGGGGTGGCAGCAAGAAATTGAGAATTACACAGAATTGGGCTTGAAACTGGGCACAAATTTGTTTTCAACTGTTATAGTAAGGGCAGGAAATCTAGAGCTTGATAATCTTTCTTCTGACAGAAGGGCTTAAGCCTGCCTGATGATGCAGTTTGAATACCCTGGGTGGCAAATAATGTGCAAAATCTGTAGACACCTGCAGCAGACCTTCACAGCATACTTGTGTAGCCCATTTTTAAAATCACCGTATGGAAATTGTTGGAGCTGTTTTCTTTAAAAGTATCCAATCTTGTTTTAATCTTCTTTATTATTGTTATTTTATTTTTGTCTCCTACCATAGTGCTTATTGACGGAGTGGAGTGGAACGATGTGAAGTTCTTCCAGCTAGCAGCACAGTGGTCTTCCCATGTCAAGCACTTTCCCATTTGCATATTTGGACATTCAAAATCCTAATGTGGTACTATTCATAGGACAGTCCTGTGACCCGGTGCCAGCTGTTTGTGTTTTCCTGCATTTTCTTATATATGTGCTTGGATAACTGCTCTGTTACTTTTCAGTTTGTTGTTCAGCTGTGGGGAAAGGACAATACTTGAAATAGCAGCTATTTAGTCTTAATTCTAAATGCACATCTAAGATACTAGCAGGAATCCATAACATATTTAAAATCTAAAAGTAATTAGTGCTTATTAACTTAGAAACCAATTGGGCGGGTAGTAGAATGGGAGGTTCATTTGGCAGCAATGTTGGTAATGTTATTCAGACTTGGAAAAATCTCATTTGGGGAAGAATCTCTGCTTGCTCTTTTTTCTCCCACCTTTCTACCCCGATTCTACAAATGATATTCCCAGCCCTGACCTCAGGCTTTTCCTTCAAAAAACACCTTACCTATCAAAGGCTCCTGATCTGTCCGTGCTCTTCCCCTCTGCTCTCTGGCATGATTAATTACCAGGAAGAAACTGTCTGCTAGTCCTCAGGCAGTATAAGTTTGCCAAAAGCTACCAGCACTGCAAAAAGAGGAGGAGAAGAAAGGGTCTCCCTTTTCCCCTTCTTATTCCCATCTGGAATGCCTCCATTCTGATTGGTCCAGATGGGGAAGTTGTGTTGGAAGGGGTGGGGGACAAGAAAGGTCCAGCATGGGAGGAGTACAAAGAAGGAGTTGAAGTTGATGCAGAGAGGTGTCTATTAGTGTCAGCTTGCTTCATAAAATGATGCAAGGTATTTTTTATTTTAGAGGAAATACCAGTTCCTTTTTGAATTAGTCTAGAGCAGGTAGGACTGATCTTATCTAACTTTATAACTTGGGTCCTAAAATGGTTGTTAATCCATATATTTACCTAAAAGTATATTTGTTAAACCATCATTTCCCCCCCAAATAGCAGATTGCTATAACTGAATACAAATCGTCGTTAATCTGATTGATGAAACTCCGCTGTGACTCTGTGCTCTGGCTCTTATCAGAAGAGTCGGGATGAAGCAGTAGTTGGAATGTGTAAGTCACACCTATTATCTAGAAATGTAGCACTGTCTCTGGTGTATGTCAATGTCATCCAGAATAAGCCCAGTGGGGAATCCCTTTTTTGTTAGAGAGCTACCACTGGAATTACCAGCATGTAGGTTGCACATTTGAGATTGGTACCACTAAGCATTTTGCACTGACTTAAGTTTTCTGTATAATGTTGATCACAACATGTGAGATGATATTTGTAGTATTTTGTAAAACTTATTTTGCCAAAGAAGGGCCAGGGGAGTGGAGCTAGTCCTCAGCTTTGTGATGTTGTCTCTCAGCATCAAATCAATGTTCATAAACATGTATATGACAGAAGTAATGCAGACACTCCATATTATTTCCTTATCCTCCTTGAAGCAATTTGGCCATGTTCCCTCTCTGGAGCAGTCTACAAGGCTCTCCTTATATGCTCCAATAAACTAGGGCGTTTGAAGGATATGTCTCAAGTGCCCTTCTACTGTTCACCACTTCCAGGACTACAAAAGCCGTGTATGTGAAGGTGGTGGTGGGGAACAGTTATGGAGGCCCAAGTGTGAAGGAATCTCTTGGCTGGAAAGTTCATAGCCTATCCCTTAAATAAAATACACTGGGGTGTGTGTGAATGCTTATACGAGAGATGGTACCCAGTCCTGGAGAGCTTTCTCTGAGCCTTTTACTTGCTCATAAAGATTCTTAAGTTTGTATGTGTTTTTTAAAAACAGTCTTGTTATGTAGCAGTTTCTGTTGGCCAACCAGCCTTTGAGGGTTGAATTCCACTAAAAAAGAAACCAAGTTGCAAAAGTGTTAGTTGGAGGTCAGTGCTAATAGATAGATAGGGAAAAAAGTTGGTAGGTGAAAACACTCCAACAGAATTAATACGTGGTTGGTCCTGTTCTCTTTTGCATTAGAACAAGAGCAGGTGCTCCAAGTCTAGCCTAATTGCCTGTTTTGGTTTCTTGCCCATTAATACAAAAACATAGCAAACCAAAATTGCTGTTAGAGATGCGTTCAAAGCTACTCTTGTGTAAGTCCCAAGAAAAAGTGGCTCTATTATGATAAAAAGATCTGTTTTTAATTTTAATTCTATTTATTTTACCGTCCTTGATATGATTGATTCCATTTGTGCTGCTTGTCTGGGAAAATGACACTACTGTACCTTTTTGTCAGAGAGTATCACTTCCCTTCTCTTTGACAACAAGGTCTAACCTAAAGAAATCTATCTTGCTGCTTTAGGATAACTGCCGGTAATGTATTGGAAAGGCAAAAGGCACACAGCCACATAATTGTTTCTCATGGTTTTGAACTGGACATGCCAGACTCAGAAGGACATTAATTGGTTGGCTTCTTCTTCATTCCTTCTTCACACTAGTCCAAGCATAATAATGAAGGTACATTTCATCTTTACTGTCTACTTCACAAAGCCCTGAACTGGTCTGACCAGCAATGTTTGGGATGCTGTTTGCCACTGTCAATTGTGATTCAAGATTCTATCTATTGTGCATATGCAGAATTTCAAGCATATCTGGGTCTTCCAAGTTTTCTATGACAACTGTTCTAGTAATTTGGGTCAAGTTTATTTCAGCTGTAATTCACAATAGAATCTTCTGCATTCCTGGGATCAAGCATTAGATGTGTTCTGTTCTGAAAGAGTGACAATGAATGGTCATTTAACTGGAAGAAGGAAATGCTGTTGATTCTGCCCCTCAACCCAACCCCCAAATTTAAAAAAACAAATTCAGGTGCACAGGGCTTTGTCTGCCCATTTAACAACCAAATATATAGCAGAATTACTGTGGTGGAAGCAGAAGATACTGACATATCTGCTCCCTTCTGTCTTGTTTTATGAAGTGTACTAAAGCTGAATCAATTAGGATATCTAGAAATGCCAGAGTGTGGGGAAGTGCTTCTTTGCTCCAAACACAGAGATACTGATAGAAATGTTGGCAGCAGTGAACCTTTACAGTTGCCATTTCTACTGCTGTGGCTGATTTGAAGGCACCAGAAAAAGACATTAGAACAGATAGAACATGCTGTATAAAAGAAAAACTGGTTTTAATCACAGCTGATGCTGGACTTTGCTCACTTTGCTTATTTCCAGCTCCAGCTCTTCTGAGTTTTTAAAATGATGATGGATTTGGCTGTGAAGAAACTGCGTCTACCCTTTCAGGGCTTTTTCAGCATGAACCATTTTGTTTACACAAATACCACTTCTTAGTAGGAAAACAAGGTGGACCATCACTTGTGAAGATTTCTGTGTGGTGTGCACTCTTTTTTCCACATAAAATGTGTTCCATGCAATAATTTTTTTGTAATTAAACAATACATGGGATGCTTCTAATGCAATACAAAAGAGCCAATAGATAACACCCCTAATAACTGAGCCAACTAGTGAGAGAGGGCTTAGCCTCATGCAGTGTTTCTCTGGCTCCTATTGCTACCTTAGAACAGCTCTTCACTTACCCATCAGAGGAGAACTGGTGGTATACGTCTTCCTATTTTAATTGGCTGTTTCCCTATTAGTCCTGGCAGGAGGTGATGGGGTATCATTAAAGAAGCAACTATGGACACTGACAGATAAACCACATTTGAGCTATCAACGAGTCAGTTGATGTGCAGGCAACAGCGTCTCATCTTATGTCCAGCTCTCCCACCAACTTGTTGACCTGTCAGAACATTCTTGGGTCTCCTGGTGCTATTAGTTTAACAACACACAATTCACAACTTTGTCATCCATGAATGAGATGGGGTGGGTACAGTGTAAAACTGTTCAAACAATTTAATAAGTTTAAATAGTTTAAAGCATTTTAAAACCATTAAGAACTCAGATAGAACAACATGCACATACTGGATCAAAAGTCAAAGGACAGGATGGCCCTAAACACCAAATGTTTGGCTGAACATTTTTAATCTTGTGCCAAAACATGTCAGCAACAGTCAAGCCTCCAGGGAAAGGCATTCCACAGCAAGAGTGCTGCAACTGGGGCATTATATGCATGAGGAACATCCCACTTGGATTACTTCAGTGCATTATATGTGAGGCTAGATTTGAAGATGGATTTGAGTTAATATAGAAGAGAGCTACAAACCTGTTCATTGTTTTGAATACTTCTGTGTCAATCGTACTGATTAGCCATCAATTTCCAAGTGCGATTTGAAGTGTTGGTGCTAATCTTTAAAGTCCTAAACAGCTTAAAACCAGTTTACTATTAACACAACCCTGCTCCCATTTTTCCTGCCCAATTATTAAAGTGAAATTTGGAAGGTTCTTTTCCCTGGACTGCTTGCTGCCCATAATGTTGGGATACATGGCTACCAGAGTTTCCTCCGTCTCTAGAATGCTCTTCCAAATGTAGCTCTCCTGCTGGTTTTGTTGGTAACATATAAGCCTTGGGCTAAGCACTTCCAGCAGGCATTCAAGCCTTGATTTTTATGTTTTATTTTACAATTTAAGTGCCATTGCAGATCCTTAGCATACTAATATTTTAATGTTTTGATACTGTTCTGATTGATTTGTTTGTTTTTACTGTAGCTTTTATTGTTCTGTGTTTTTATATGTATAAAACTGCCTGGAGCATTTCACAGTTGGGCAAAAATAATAAATAAATGCATAAAATAGTTGACAGTTTGGACTATACTGAAAATGAATACTTAGGCTGTTGAAAGAAATTGATACATGTAAATATTCTTCAGTAGGTCAAACTGAAGCTAAACATAGAGCCAAAGAAATTCATATATGAAAATGTTCCTCAGCTGATCCAAGCTAAAACTTGTTTTAGTAGTAGTCCTCCTCTAACTTTCCTCTCCCTAATATATGCTGCTAATAGCCCTTTCCTTTTCTGAAGGAAGAGTTTGACACAGCTCACCGTATTAGGATCAGCTGAACATAGTATGAGCTTATTGTGAAACAGTACAGAAGCCTTACCTCTCATTCCATGGTTTTCTGCAGGCATTAGTGGCATTTAGGCTGAGGGATATATCTATTATGTTTGGAAACTAAAAATCTGATGGATTCTGTTCTGCATTTATAGACATTTCCATCTGAAACATAGTTATTCAGTAGAATGAGAATCTTCTGGAATAATAAAGAAAAGGAATGAAGATTTTGAGAATTAGAGCCCATTTTATCAGATCCATGCAGTGTTGTCGGTTAGCAGATATGCATGGGAATAAAGTTTGGATATGATATGACATATGGGATCATATGATAATTAAACAGTGCTGTCGGTTAGTAGATATGCATGGGAATAAAGTTTGGATATTATGTAATATGACATATGGGATCATATGATAATTAATTTAAACAATGGGGTCAAATGGTAAAGAAATTTAAGCTTTACAGATTGTCATTCATTGTTAGGAATCAGAGCCATGTTTCTCATGCATGAGGATGAATTCTTCACCTAAAGAGGGACAGAGAACTCCCGACCCTATAAATACAATAACTGTTGCAGAGGCAAGTGCTCCCTCACCCGTCCTTTAATGCCACAGAAGATGCTTTCTGGAGCAGCCACCTGCCTGATGTCTCATTCTAAGATTCCCTAAATAACAAAGAATAGTATAGAAGTTGTAAGAACAATTAATGACAGAGTGAACTTCCACAGACAGGCAGTCCACTTTATCATCTGGGAAAGGTCGTGCTATAACAAATCTGTTTGTGTTAACGTTGCTACACCACACTTTGTTGTTTTCCTGCAGCAAATTAACATGGCTGCCTTCTGGAAATTGATATAGTCTAAGGCAGTGGTTCTTAACCTTGGGTTACTCGGGTGTTTTTGAACTGCAACTCCCAGAAACCCCAGCCAGCACAGCTGGTGGTGAAGGCTTCTGGGAGTTGCAGTCCAAAAACACCTGAGTAACCCAAGGTTAAGAACCACTGGTCTAAGGGTCCTACAAATATCCAGTGTGGTGTATTGAACAGATTGATGGATTAGGACTCAGGAAACCTGGGTTCAAATCCCCACTCAGTCACGGAGATACACTGGGAGGGAGGGAGTTGAACTAGTAAAGCTACTCATTAAACATCTCACTTACTCTGAAAGCCCTGGTAAGGATACTAAATCAGTTCCAACATGATGGCGTGCCACTCATCTTCTACCCTTCATTAGACATCTCAGTTACTTTGAAAGCCCTGGTAAGGACACTAAATAAGTTCCAACATGATGGCGTGCCACTCATCTTCTACCCCCTCATTATCTCAGAGGACCCTTCACAACAAGACATTAATTGGGCTCTATGAGGAAGTAGCTAGGCCCAAATACTGCAGTCCTTTTCAAGACCAAAACACCATAGACCAGGTAGCCATGGAGACTGTGCCACAGAGGCACAGATAGTCTCCATGGTCATCTGGTTCACAATATGTCAGTATGAAACTGGTACTTTAGGACAAAGCACTCAAGGAGTAGGGTGGGAAATGAGAGATGCAGTAGGAATGGTGGCCCCTGTCTTCCCACCTCAAATTGCCTCTGTGAAGTATAAATGTATACAAAATAAGCACAGTAATTCTGTATTTAGTCAAAGTGAATTTGCCAAAAACTGCCTTTTTCATTTCGTGGCCATTTGGCCTCATTGATATAGTACAAAATGGATACATCCAGGCCACATTCCCTAGTTACCCTTAGTCTCCAATCTCTTACTCAAGCATTGGCTCGAAAGTTTAGGACAAGAATAGAGGAACAAGTTTGCATAAGAGCTAAAGATAGACTTCCTTATAAGAAGAAACAGCACTCAGATTTCTTGATTCCTTGAGTGCAGGCAGGATCCAAGAACCGGCAGCTTAGGCCAGTGCATCTTTCAGTAACCAGCTTCAGTTATTTGTTCAGAATAAACTGGCTGAGCAATAGAGCCATTTATCAGACTGGGTGAAATGAAGGGACAATAACTATTTATAACTGGTCCATCTCTTTCATAGTAATTGTTTTATTAATTAAGACAGTAAGTGTACATAGCTTTTTTTAAAAAGTACAATGTATACTACTTTATGCAATATTTTATGGTACTGATGCACCACTAATAAAATGAGATTGGAAAGCACACACCTGTCTGTCTCTTGTTTTGAGATTAAATCTTATTTCACTTTCTGCCTCAAAATGTGCTTGCTATTAGTCATAACGTACAATTAGAGATGGGCATGAACCTCGTTTCAGAGGTCTGGCCCAATTAATCACCATGCTTGCATAGGTGTTGTGCGGACATGGCACCCTCCCACCTCCCCTCATGCTCACCCATTCCTCAGGCAATGTGAGCTTTCCCCTGCCTCCCCACCGCGACTGGCCACTTACCTTTGCAGTGTCTCTCCCCTCCTTTGCCTCTTCCATCAGCCTTTGTGTGGGTGGCTGGTGGAGAAAGGAGAAGACAGAAGAACAGGCTGTAAAAGGTGAGTGACCAGTCACACGGGACATGGGGAAGAAAGCATGAGTCAACCGAGGAATGGGCAAGCATAAGTACAATGTCTTAATAGTTCCTGTGTCCAATTCCGGCTGTTGTGGTCCCTTCCAGCTCTAAAATTCCATGATTCTAATGTGAAATTAAAATCTGCTTTCACTAATGACAAAAGAATCTCTTATTTCTCTAAGAAGATTCTAAGGGGAGAGATATGTATTACGAATGAATACTTAGGGTCTCTTTTTTTAAAGCAAAAAACATACGAGGGAATTTTTAGAAGGATGTTTAAACCATGGCCAGGCCAATTTCAGGCTTCTTAAACAAATTTGTTTTTAAAAAAACAACAGCCAAATGGGAAGGTGTATATATGCAGCCCTAAAGTAACATTAGACAGTGGGGAAAAAATTGAAACATTGAGCAGTGATCACCTACGGACTCTCTGATCCTCTGCTTCACCTGTATGTTTTAATTTGGGTTACAAAACGTTAGAGGTAGCAGGCTGGATGAAGCTGAACTGACCAAAGTGGACAGATAGAGAGACAGAGGCAGAAGATGGGATGTTTGGTGAATGTTCAGGAAAGTGTCTGTGCTATCGTGAGGTGATGTTGAAGTAAATGAAAAAAAAAGCATGATATAAGCCCTGTATTTATAAGGACATACACTAATTTGTCCTTGCAAAAGGCTGGCTATATTTAAAGTTGAATTTTCATTATTTTATTACAAGTAGAGCACAGTAACTCCAAGTAAGTTAGATAGCATAGTAAGTCAGAGTTAGCATAGGTCCATTTGAATTTATGGAACTTATGGAGGTGTTGACACATTCAATCACCACTGATTCAATGGGCCTACTCCAGTCTGATTTACTACCCTAAGCAACATGATTTTGGCCACTAGGTATTTACCTATATCAAGATAATCTTCTCAAATCAATTTAAGTCATAATCAGCATCCCCATACACTTGAGTCCAGCAGGATCTTGTTGATTTTGGAGGTAAATCCTCAACCATCATTTTCAGTCTGAACAATCAGATTTTCAAAACTTGAGTGGCTATACAAATAATATACATGAGCCAGCAAGATGTTAACATGGAAGGCTTTACAATTTTACCCTTTTATCCTTTTTCCTAGCCTGTTTTCCCGAAAATAAGCCCTAGTATGATTTTTCAGGATGCTCGTAATATATGCCCTACCCCAAAAATAAGCCCCAGCTAAGTGAAACCCCGTCCTCCACCACTGTGCAGCATTGTGCAGAAGATTATGACATGACTGTAAAATAAAACATCCCCTGAAAATAAGCTCTAATGCATTTTTGGAGCAAAAATTAATATAAGACCCTTTATTTTCAGGAAAAACACAGTACTTCCAATGGGAGCAGTCTGTGAAGTGTGCAGAAAGGTCTGCCAGTTTTGAGCATGTGCAACATCAAACTTTGCACCTTAAAACAAGTTTTCTAAAATAAGTTTTTCAAAAATAAGTTTTTCAAGAGGGGTTTCTTAAAAATGTTTCTCCTGTAGAAGTCTGCCTGTTGTTTTGAACTCTCTGTGGACCAAGAGGTGACATCCATTTTGCTCCTTTCTTGATTACTTTCCTCTGGTAAAGTTCTCTGGTAAGCAAAACTACTAAATAAACACGTTACTTAATGTTAAGACAGACATTCTAGTCCATTGGGCTTATTCTTTCCTCTTTGCTGCTCTTTGTTTGAAATTACATTTTTAATTTGTTGCTCTTAAAACATTTTATCAGCTTTCATATGATGTGTTCCTGTGGTGCAGAGCATGGACAGAGTTCCTACTCCAGTCCTCTGAAGATGCCAGCCACAGAGAACACGGCCAAAGAACCCGAAAAACCCACAACCACCATCAGATCCTGGCCGTGAAAGCCTTCGAGAATAAACTGCAAGGTATCTTCAAATATCAGTTTGAAGGGAACTACGTGTCATCCATCAAATAACAAAATTTGGCAGTTTGTAGTTTTATTGAGTTGTTTACTTTAACCTAAACTTAATAATAACAATACCTATATAGGCTAACAGCAATGATAGATAGAAATCTTCAGCTGTCCTGAACTGAAGCGGCAGTGTGAGAAAGGTGTGGAGATGCAGTCTGTAGCAAGACTGTACCCATTAAAAAACAAACAGCCCAATGATGGCACTGTGACAAGGCAAGGAAGTACTGTCATCAACTAAGTGCTGCCACTACTGTTTTGTGTGTAGGGGAAAGGTCCCCAAAGACTAA